AGTGGGCAGGTAGCTTCTTAATCTTAAGTAATAAAACATTTAAAAAGATAAGACATGGAATCTGGAAAACATGAAAGATCATATATAATCCTATGTAATTTTAAGTGTTACTTTGGAAATAGAAGCAACCACAATTCGCTTGAATTAATCATTCAAAATAATTATAACATACTAAATCTGTTGGATAAGCAGACTGCTGACCACTAGGTCAGTGGTTCAAAACCACTGGCCATTCCTTGGGAGAGAGATGAGGCTTTCTGCTCCTGTGAAGGTTTACAGCCTCACACGCTATACAGGGTCAGTGTGAGTCTGAATCCACTCAGTGGCCATGGGCGGAAGATCTCATGTGTTCAACATCTTTCTTGACATAATTATCATTCTGATATTATAACTTTTCATCTTTATGTCTCTGACTCTGGTTTCTAGAAAGGATCATTTTAAAGAGAAAACATACTTTTACATGACTCCACTGTGATCTCTTGATTTTTTAATTTTTAGAGGTACATAGAAACTATTAGTATACGTTTAGTAAACTATTATACATATAGTAAACTTGCATACCTGACCTTATTCCAAATAGGATTGAAGGCAACTTGCAACTCCTAGATAGTTAGTATTATATATTTCTGTAGTTGTTCCAGTCTTTGTTAGAGAGTGGGGAGGAAAGTCTCAGTTGAGAAATAATTCTGGAATAAATAAGGCTACAGGAAGCCTAGCTGGCTAGCTTTCCAGGAGTGCAATTATGCAACAGTACTTAGCACTCGAGTGTTAAGAATAGTCAGGAAATCCTGGGTCCAGATGCCTGAGGATTACGACCTATCTGCTTGAGTACTTGCTGCTGAAGGCTCCATGTCCCCAAACTGATATTCCTCTCTTCCAGCAGACTCAGGATTTCTCTATCAGCACTTCCTCCTGCCTACCAGCCACTTCACCACTTTTACATTTGCAGTCTTCTCGTTCTCAAAAACAAATCTAAGGCATGCTATTCCTTCTGTGGACTCCTTGAAGACTACATATACATTAGTTTGGCAAGTAAGGATTAAATGTAATAGAGTGCGCTACAGCCTGCAAAGATAAAAGTCAGCATGTTGACTCAGAACTTGGGCTTCTTGTGACAAATTGCCTCGGTTCAAAGCCCTGCTCTGCCACTTACCATCTTGTGACCCTCATTTTTCTGTGCCTCTATTTCTTCATCTATAAATAGGTGTCCTCTCAAGGATTAAAGGTAAAAACAAGTCTACAATAAATGATCACCAGAAGTATGTAGTGTCAGTTGATAATGTAGTTATCACAATGAATAAAAGACCTATCCACCTGCGGGATTCCATTTGAATTTTACAACAATTTTACAACAGGTTACTCTTCTCGTACTTAAGTATTACCATCCTCGTTTATCGACAGACCCTAGAGCTTTGGAGAACTGCTCACCTGACACTTGGGGCTGCCCGGCTGAGCTCAGATCAGAGTGCTGTCTGTGCAGCGTGCAGAGGCAGGGCTCCTCTGGCTGGCTGGGTTCGAGGTTTCCCCTCAGGAGCCAGCTGGAAACAACTGATGTGACTGCTCCGAAATGTGTTCAGGATTTTGACAGCAGGTCTGAGCTCACTAAAAAGAATGTATGATGATTGGCTGTACGCTTATACTGCCTTTTATTCCCCCTTGCTAAGGTTTCTATTTTTTTGGACAAAAATGTATGTAGATTTAATCACATCTTATAATGAGGTTATTAATTTATAGACTTCTTTTAGCCTTATAGGTTTGCTAGAGAAATGTTACTGTCCCTAAAGTTTTCAGACTAGTGCAGTAAAAGGGGGCTCTTGTACAAACTAGTTCTCCTCAGCTTCACATCTCTGATCTCACATACATATGGGCACACAGAGAGAAATACAGTAACAACACTGATTTCTAATTTGGAGGTTACGCTACCAAAAAATGATTGGAAATCCAGCAATTGACATTAAGAAAGGAAACCTAATATGCAAAACTAGAACTGGTTCTCTGTGGGATGCTCTGGGTACCTTATTCCTTTGTGTACCACCCTCTCCGTAGTCATGGCACTTGTGAGGAGCCGTGCTGATGCTGGGGGTAAGCATCGAACTGTTAACCACAAGATAGATGATCCAAACCCACCAGCGACTCTGCCAGACAAAGATGAGGCTCTCTGCTCCCGTAGAGATTTACAGCCTTGGAAGCTCTCAGTAGTAGTTCTACTCTGTCCTACAGCAGTGGCTCTCTACCTGTGGGTCATGACCCTTTGGGGATCGAATGACCCTTTCAGAGGGGTCAACCGATTCATAACAGTAGCAAAATGACAGTTACGAAGTAGCAACAAAAATAATTTCATGGTTGGGTCACCACAACCTGAGGAACTGTATTAAAGGGCCGCGGCATGAGGAAGGTGGTGAACCACTGTCCTGTAGGGTAGCTATAAGCTAGGATCAATTCAATGGCAGTAGGTTGGTTTGCATGGCACTTTGAGAGGTAAATTGAAAACAACTTTCTTTTTCTTTAATCATTTTATTGGGGGCTCATAGCACAATCCATCCATCCATCCATTGTGTCAAGCACATTTGTGCCATCATCATTTTCAAAATATTTGCTTTCTACTTGAGCCCTTGGTATCAGCTCCTCATTTTTCTCCTCCCTCCCCCACCCCCTCCCTCACAAACCCTTCATAATTATAAATTGTTATTATTTTTCATGTCTTTACTGATTGATGTCTCCCTTCACCCACTTTTCTGTTGTCTGTCCCCTAGGGAAGAGGGGGTTATATATAGATCCTTGTGATCAGTTCTCCCTCTCTTCCCCACCTCCTCCTTCCCCTCCTGGTATTGCTACTCTCATTTTTGGTCCTTAGGGATTTATCTGTCCTGGATTCCCTGTGGAAAACAACCTTATTTCCATATAAAGCACCCCGGTGGCATAGTGGGTTGAGCTCTGGACTGCTAACCATAAGATCATTGGTTCAAGCCCTCCAGGTACTCCACAAGAGAAAGCTGAGGCTGCTTCTGTAAAGATTGACAGCCTCAAAAATCCACAGAGCAGTTGTACTATGTCATTTAGGGTCACTACGCATCACAATCTACTCGCCCGAGAAGGTTTGGGTGGGGTTTTTATTTTCATATATTAATCAAATACTAGTCTATTGTACTGTTAAAGTCACAGAAATTTTGGATGGATCAAACAGGGACAATTTAAATTCATAAAGGCTTGGCTCTATGGAATTGACATCTGACCTGCCTGCCCTAGGCTTCTTGTTTTTATTTTAGCCAATGCTATCTCATATTCATTATCTTCAGTCTAATTGTAGGGAAGTAGCAACCTAATAATCAAAAAAGCATCACCTACGTGTGGGAAAGCAAGAGTTGACTTCCAAATTCCATTTATTCTGATCACAGCCCAGTGCCTAACCACTACGCCGCCAGTCCAAATTCCACTTTATACGAAGATACCTCGGGAAACACTGACCATGACAGCCTAGATTCACCTAAGTGCTAAGCCTGGCTGGGTCTCCTGCAGTCTCCTTCCCCAGCTGGAAAGAATTCATGATTTTGTTAGTAGTCTTTTGCCAGCATCTCAGAGAATCTGTGGCCTTGCAAGGCTTAGGGAGTGTGATCTCTCTCCCAGTGTAAACTAAATTTGGGAAATACTAGTAGGCAAGCCTCATGAAGTGTGAGAACTTGCGTCTTCCATCCACCTGACGGTGAAGAAATTAGAGAGAAGTCGAGCTGTGTGGCTTTCTCATTACTAAAGATAGTTTGCACTTCCCCTGTAAGACCTGGCCGGCTCAGGGCTGTTCTGGTAATGTTGTTCTTTTACATCGGCTCTGTGTACAAGATGGATAAGCAAAGGAGAAATCTGTGCCTAAGAAAATAGTGTTTACCGTTCCATGCTCACGACTGCCAAATACTCTCCTCGGATTTCTGGTGCGACATGGATTTAAATCTGTCGTTTTATTCAGATTTTGTGTGTCCAGTGCCAATGACTAAAGATAAATAGACATCTGAAAGTGCTCTGTGGCAATTGTAAGATTATTTGGGCAAGAAGGAATGTTCCTACTGAAGCCTTTCCAGGAGTGGAACTCACCGTGGCCCTGTGACGCTGCTCTTAGAGAAAAACGTGAAAACTAACAGTGTCTCATCTTTCGGATTAGGTGTTACTCGGTTTTGAAATACCATGGTTACTGATCACATTTCAATAAAAATTCCTCCCAAGATTGCTTTATAAGTAATCGCTCCTTGGGAGTATTTACTGGAGATGCTTAGAATAAAAAGTATTGTCCTTTATGGAGTTTGTATTGATACACACACACACACACACACACACACACACACACACAAAACCACCTCCCTCCCATGGAGTCAATGCTGATTCACAGCAACCCTACAGGGCAGGGTAGAACTAACTGCCCTGGGGGCTTCTGAGACTGTGCCTGTGGCAGGAGTAGAAAGCCCTGTCTTTCTCCTGCAGAGCCTCAAACTGCTCACCTTTCAGATCGTAGCCCAACACGCCACCACTGTGCCACCAGCATTCCCATATTGATTACCTAGTAAGATGTTTTTTAAAAATAACAATGCTAAGCATTTTTTCGAAAGATAATGTTAAGTATTGATTGCCTTTTTCAGGCGGTATAACCCAAGTGTTCCAAGAATGCTGCTTGCCATCAGGTCGGTCTGACTCCAAGTGCCAGTTTCAGTGGAACTCTCCTCCACTGTCCCCTCCCCAGGTGGAAGGAATGCAGATGGGTCTTTTAGTGATCCTTTGCCAAAATGCCAGAGAACTTTTTGTAGATTCAGACTTTAGTCTTTAAACTTTTTCCTGGGATTTCTTTTGTTCCTTTGTTTGTGAAGTCTTCTCTCTATGGAAGTTTTCTTAAATCAGAGAGACCTGGTAATCCTCAGAAATTCCTTTAGCAAGTCAAAGATCATATTCCTTTTGCCCTTCCCATTTTGTAGATGTTTATTGATTTCTTCCTGTTGCGTTTCTTATTTCTGTTGTTTCAGACTGGTCCCAAGACTTGGTATTCAGAAGCATTCTGAAGAAAATGTGGTGTTTACACAGTTTATAGCTACCTTGCTTGAAGAATTACATTTAAAGAATGAAGACCTTGAAAGTTTAACCACCATTTTTAGAACAAACTGTTAATAAAGAGTGGTGAGTCGGGTTGTGTTTTACTTTGCTTTGTTTTTCATTTGTTGCCTGTGTGAATTTTTGTTGTTGTTGAAAATGTTTTAAACCGAGTACCGACTCTGAGACGTCCTCAGCTTGTTCAGGAAGAGCATGCTGTCCCAGAGTTCTCAGTCCCCTCAGTCACTACCTGCCCACTCTTGTGGAACTTTCTCTTCCATCTTTGTTGCTCCTTGGCTTCAGGCTTTAGCAGTAATTTCTGTATCTTGCAATCCAGGAAACTCCCCATTATCTACTTCCTACTCAGATGTGCCCTATCAGGAAGTTACAGTTTACTTCAACCCAAGGACTATAGTGGTCCTTTGAGAACATCCGTACTGCACCCGTTAGAGAAGTCACCCTACCCCACTAATAACTGTGTGCATCTCGTGCAGACGAAGAGAGGTGGGTTTCCAAGTCTAGCTTTGTTGACGCTTCCTCCCACTCCCAGACACCATCTCTCTCCTGCCCCTTTCACACCTGGAGTGTGTCCCTCCCTCTTTCTGATTTAATCACCCCCTCTCTGGTCTCTTCAGCCTTTCAGTTCTCACTGGCACACTTCCAAGGGCTCAAATAGGCAGATATCAGTGTTATCGTTGAAGCAAGTCATCCTAAGCTTACAAATGAAACTCTAAGGGAGCATTTTCATTTTATAAAAACTTTAAATTGCTTTTTTAATTATAAAGTCGATGTGTGCTTCATAATAAAATCAAAATGAAATAATACAGAATTACATATGTAATAAAGAACCCCCAAAAATCAAATCATTGTGAATGAGGGGGAGTGCAGATTGGGGACCCAAGACCCATCTATAGGCAACTGGACATCCCTTACAGAGGTTCGCAGGGAGGAGACAAGCCAGTCAGGGTGCAGTGTAGCAACAATGAAACATACAACTTTCCTCTAGTTCCTAAATGCTTCCCTCCCCCAACTATCATGATCCCAATTCTACCTTATAAATCTGGCTAGACCAGAGGATATGCACTGGTATAGATAGGAACTGAAAACACAGGGAATCCAGGACCAATGCTGAGAGTGGTGATACCAGGAGAGTGGAGGGAGGTTGAGGTGGAAAGGAGGAACCAATTACAAGGATCTACATATAACCTCCTCCATGGGGGATGGACAACAGAAAAGTGGGTGATGGGAGACGTCAGACAAGTATAAGATATGACAAAATAATAATAATTTATAAATAAGCAAGCACTCATAAGGGAGGGGGGAGCGGGGAGGGAGGGGAGAAAATGAGCTGATACCAAGGGGTCAAGTAGAAAGCAAATGTTTTGAAAATGATGATGGCAACAAATGTACAAATGTGCTTGACACAGTGGATGGATGGATGGATGGATTGTGTTAAGAGTTGTACGAGCCCCCAGTAAAATGTTAAAAAGAAAAAGGAAAATTCCCCGCTTGCCTCTGCTTCCAAGCCCACTGTCCTTCCCAGAGCATACTTGGTATATATTGTTGCAGATTGATTTGTTTTATTTGCATTTTTATGGAAAATTCTAAAAGCAAATCTGTAAGTATATGGGAAAGATATTTGAGAAAGAGAAGTGGGAAAGAATGGCATTTTATTGAGCCTACCAGAAAGTAAAATGCACTATGCGTCACCTAACATCCATGTGGACAGTGTCTGATTGTATACCCGAATCAAATGGGCTTCAAAAGGTTCACTGGAAAATGTCATTATCTTTTCATTATTGTCGTTTTCCACCAACTCTTAGAAACCACCTTCCAAAACCATGGCCCCATAAGGTCTTTGTGTAGGGCAAACAGTTCTCCTTTTAGTTATTATTTTCCCCTAACGGTGAAAGACCCCAGGGCAATACTCTCACAGCACTGGACCAGGAGCGGCGTACAGGCAGGTGAGACGGAGATGGGGCATGGTCGTCTGATAAGAGGCCAGCGGGGATTCCCGCTACTCAGGCGGCAGAGCAGTAGACAGGACGGGGTTGAACATGTTCCACGTCCTCCTCACTTGCTTCCTCTAGTTCTGCGCCTGCTGCCGCCCTCTCAGCCTCTGCTGTGTCCAGAGCCATTCCTCCAGTAGCTCCTGCAGCAGCAGTGGTGACAAGCAACAACAAGGACAGCCAGAGCTGGCTCCCAGAAGGTTTTAATATGGTGTTCATACAACGCCTTGTTTCATAGACTATGTCGGGGATGTTGAGCAGTGTGTACCTGTATAAGGAATTTGTTCTATAACTGCCTCCCAATTTATACTATCCTGGCAAGGGTCTTGACCTTCACACTGATTAGGGGCACCTGACCCTAGCTACATAGCCACAAGAATGCTGAGAAATAATCCAGTCAGTTTGACAAGGATAGGGGATTTCCCTGTCATAAAGACCAACTCATAGCTCTCAAGCTGCATTTGGAGCTGGGTCGATTTTACCAAAACCACGATAGCAGTGTAATAGGACAGAATGGAGTGGATGTTGTGGAGACAAACCCCAGTGTTCACTATAACTGGTAAAGTATCTTAGGTGCTTTTACTTAAACTCTGTATTTTCTTTCTTTCCAGATGGAATCCATGATGAGAGAATAGAGCATGAACTTCTATTCACCATTTCTGGAAGGGTGGTTCTGATGAGGGTCTGCTGGCAACTGATAACCAGCGTTATTCCAAGAACAACCTTGGCCTCCTTAGATTTCAAACTTATCCCCCAGCCTCTAATTGCAGAGTGACACCTCCGAGAAAAATCAGTATTTCAAGAAGGATGAGCCCTTGTGTCCTTAGCTACAAGAGAGAGTATATTGATTTATTTTAAAATGAAAGTTAAAACTTGAAACAATATTTGAGAAAATATAATGATCTCTTATTTTTCCTGGGTGATTCCCACAAGCATATTAGCTATTCAAAAAATTAGGAAGATGTTTGCTATAGAGTACACCACTTAAAAACATGCTACATGAAAGAAGTCCGCTCTAGTAGCTCACATGTGGCATGCATCCATTGATAGGAAACATTCAAAAATTGACGTCTTTGAAGTAGGTCTCAGATCCATGGCTGCATGGGGACTTTCTGTACGAGGACACACAAGATCTTCCTAGAGAGCTAAACATGTTCTAAAACAGAATTGGAATTTTTGTGATTCATTTTAAAAATCAATTTTTTTAAAATAGTTTTACTTGTGCACTTAAAACAGATAGGTTTTATATCTGTAAACTGTAAGTACTTCAATAAAACTGTGTTAAAAATCATAATTGGCAGGGCCCCTCCCACTGACATTCAGTGAACCCCCTCCAGGTAAACAACAGACAAGGCTCTCTCCTCACAGCACCACCACCTCCTTGTGCCCACACACACGTCACCAGGTGTGAGGTGAGGCACCAGTAGCTTATTATACAGCGATTTGAGAAGCCACATGGAGCAAATACCATAAAGTACCAATACCACCCTCCCTCCCACACATGCCTCTCAAGTTACGTGAGCCTGGCAGGATGGGAGCAAGAATGCCGTGCAGCTCAAAATCTCTGCCGGATCTGGATTTCTAAATACCTTCGAATTAACAGAACCAAGTCTCCTTGGAAAGAGGCTGGTTCTGATGCCGAGCAGGGAACGTGCAGGGCTGGAGCATCTTGTAGTGAAAAAGTAAGTGCCCAGAAAACAAAAGGAGGGGGCACGCCAAAGAGATGTGTACCAACCTGAAAGAGCGCCCCATGGCCAGAGCTGGCTGGTTTGGGCAACAAATGACACTTTGGGGTTATAACCCAAGGGATAAAAGAAATATGGGTGAGCCCATAAGTAAGAGAGGAGATGAGGGAAATCTTCCTTACGTAAGAATTCCAAATAATTGATATGTAGTCACTACCCCCTCCAGGAGTTAAAGCTCCCTCGCCTCCCTTTCAAGATTGGATAGATTCAGTGAATTGCGTCACTGAAAATACAGTAGGAAAAGAGAAAAATCACGTTGCGATGAAGTAAGTTTGCAAAGAAGAGAGCTTGGCAGGCACTAGGTTAACCAAGTAATCAAGGTTAACCAGTGGTATCATGTGGAAATATGCGTCCTGATATGATGTAATAGGAGGTACTTCACCTTGGTGGTAGTCTTCCTAATGAAAGCCATTACCTTGGGCTAATCATGAGGAAAACATCAGACAAAACAGATTGGAAGAAATTCTGCAAGATACTCCTCGAGACTGTCAGGATCAGAAAAGCAAGACGGCTGAGAATGGCAGACAAGAAGACCCGGGAGGCCTGGAAGCTAACAGCAGTGTGGGACTCTAGACGGCTCCTGGAGCAGAAATGGAAAATGCCATCGAGCGTGTACTTTGGTTCATAGCCCAGCGCTGTGGCAGATGTGCCCTGGACGTGTCAGTGATGGAGGAGGCAATTGTCGATGGCGTGGAAGGATAGGTTGGGGTATGAGGTGGTGATGGGCAGGGGAGGTGGCACTCTGGCAGGAGCAGGCACAGGAAGAAAGGCACAAAGTGGAAAGACCCAGGGTCTGTACTTTATTAGATGCATCTGGAATTGGGGACAGACCACGGAAAGCAGGATTTTAAAATGAGGTGAGTGCAGGTATGAAGCAGCTAAAAGAACTACAACCCTTCAGTTGTGCTTTTGCAAACTTGAAACGCGACTATACCAGACTGCAAATTAAACCCCCTCCCCCCCCAAACAAAATTCCATCAAAATTCAAAACGCAGGACTTAAAGTGAACAACCTACAGAATGGGAGAACATATTTGGGAATCTGATGAGAGTGGATATTACAATCCAGAAATTTAGAGAATTCTACAACTAAACAAAAGACAACCCAACAATGAATGTGCAGAGGGCTATTTGTTAGGCTGGGTTGTCTAGAGAAAAAAACCAGTGATATAAATGCATAAGAAAACCATCAACTCAAGTCTGTGGGTCAGCGCCCTCTTCAGACTCATAGCCAAAGGCCAGTGACTCGGCAACAAGAAGCAGGACTCAGGAAGATCGCAGGCTAGTGAGTGCAGAGTGGCATGGATCCAATGTCTGAATGTTGGCACAGAACTGACAGCTGTCAGGTGGGCTCATGTGGGGCCACCCCTGTAGGCAGACGTAACTCCAGCAAGGAGGAAGAAAGGCAAGAGGAAAGAGAAATTCCCAATGTCTCTTCTTATTAAAAGGCCACGCCCCCAAGGAGGTATACACAGGCTGTGGCTTGATTGATAGGTTAGACTCCACCCCTTCACTTCACACAGGTGCAAGTTGACCTAAGATCTTTAACCACCAGACTTGGGCATTTCATCCAACAATAGGCACGTGAAAAGATGTTCAGTGGCCTTATTCAGGGTTGGTTGCATTGCGACAGATCCAATTCATGGTGACCATATGTGTAACAGAACGGACCACTACCTTGTCTGCCACCTTCACAGTCTCTGATAGGCCTGAGCCCACTGTTGGCAGCTGCCATGTGATCTCATCTCCTGGAGGGTTTTCTCAGACACTCCACGAAACATGATGTTCTTTGGTACTGACTGGTCTTTCCTGATGACATAAAGTACGCAAGATGAAATCTTCCCATCCCCTCTTAACGGGCATTTTGGGCATACTTCCTCTAAGACACATTCCTTCATTCTCCTGGCAACCAGTGGGATAGTCATTGCTTTTCACCAACACCATGAATCAAATATGTCCTTTCTCCTCCACCATGGCTTGGATCAAGGCACATGTTAGTCATCAAAGCGATTCCTTTGCTTTTTAGTATATTTTTTTAATGATTTTATTGAGGGCTCTTACAGTTCTTATCACAATCTATACATGATTCCATTGTGTCAATCAAATTTATACATATGTTGCCATCATTTTCAAAATAGTTTCTTTTATACTTGAGCCCTTGATATCAGCTCCTCATTTCCTCCCTCCCCCACCTTCCCTCCCTCATGAATCCTTTATAATTTTTTTCACGTCTTATACCGACTTCTGTCTCCCTTCACCCACTTTTCTGTTGTCCATCCCCCTGGGAAAGGGTTATATGTAGATCATTGTGATCAGTTCCCCCTTTCTCCCTCCACCTTACCCTTACCCTCCTGGTATCACTACTCCCATTATTGGTCCTGAGGGGTTTATCTATCCTGGAGTCCTGTGTTGTAAACTCTTATCTGTACCAGTGTATGTGCTCTGATCTTTCTGGATTTGTAAGATAGAATTGAATTATGATAGTGGGGGGAAGGAAGCATTAAAGAACTAGAGGAAAGTTGTATGTTTCACCGGTGCTATATTGTACCCTGACTGGCTCTTTTCTACCTTGTGACCTTTCTGTAAGGGGATGTCCAATTGTCTACAAATGGGCTTTGGGTCTCCACTCTGGGAGCCTCCCCTCCCATTCACATTGGTATAATTTTTGTTCTGGGTCTTTGATGCCTGATACTTGATCCTATCGACACGTCATGATCACACAGGCTGGTGTGCTTCTTCCATGTGGGCTTAGTTGCTTCTCAGCTAGATTGCTGCTTGCTTATCTTCAAGCCTTTAAGACCCCAGATGCTAGCTGTATCTTTTGATAGCTGGGCACCAACACCTTTCTTCACCACATTTCCTCGTGCACCCATTTTGTCTTAAGCGATCATGTTGGGAAAGTGAGCATCACAGAATGCCAGGTTATTAGAACAAAGTGTTCTTGCATTGGGGGAGTATAAGTACACAGATCTATTTCTCTGTCATATCTAATATTCATTTATGTACATGCCTGTGTTTAGACCTCTCTAAATGTCCTTTGCCTCCTAGTTCTTTCCTCTATTTCTTTTTACTTTCCTCTTGTCCCACCATCATGCTCAGTCTTCATCTGGGTTTCGGGAATTCCTCTCAGCTACATTGCCCTTGATTAAGCCCCACCAAACATCCTATGCCTTCCTCGCTATCTATTTTAGATCACTTGTTCCCTTTTCCCTGCGTTTGTTAACACCCATTTCCTTTCCCCCACTTCCCCTCTCCCATGTCCCCCCGGAACTGTTGGTTCTGTTTTCTCCTCCAGATTGTTTATCCCACCTATCTTATCTAGATAGACATTCGGAGATAATCACAAAAACAATACAAAGAAAAAAAAAACAAAGAAAGCAATGACAAAAAGAAAAACCTGTAAGTCCAGGTCTGTTTGTTGACCTTTAGGAGTGTATTCCAGTCAAGTCTGGTGGGGTGCCATGCCCTGGTCCCAAAGGCTATTTTTTGTATTCCCTGGGACATTGCTCTGCTCCCCTTGCTACTCTGTTGCATGCCCTTAGTGTTTCACCCCAGTGTGATAGGATCAAACCGAGCACAATTTCCTCACTGTGTCTCTCCAGTGTTGTCCCCTTAGCGCTATGGGTCAGTGAGGTACATTGAGTCTGTCTTGTGGTGGGGCTGGCCCTATGGTTTTCTCTGTGCATCGGCTGCTCTGAGCAGGAATATCATCCTTGGGGCTTGGTGAGCCAGGATATGGTCCCCTCTCTTCTCTCTTCGTTTGCTCCTGTGCTCTGATCAGACGCGCCCTTCTTCCCGAGCTGCAGCTTCAGTGCTGTCCTCTGAAGTGCATTCTTCTGGGTGGGAGATGTTGGGACTCCCACATAGTTGAGATTGGGGCCAGACCCACAGACCTCTCTGTTGGTTCCCTGCTTCGTGCCACTATGTTCTATTCACATCTTGGTGCACCAAGTTGAAGTCTGGTCCCTGTTGCAGCACATTCCCCAATGCAATCCACCATTTGTTTCCTTGACTGCTGGTTCCATGGATCCTGACTTAATTGAGCCAAGTAGAATGAAATCCTTGACAACCCTGGACAACTTCCATTTCTTTGGCATTCATGACTTTATTAGTCAATTCTGAATCAGTGTATGCATGGTTTCCAAGACTGTAAATCTTTACGGGAACAGACAGCCTCATCGTTCCCCGCAGAGTGGCTGATGGGTCTGAATGTCCAACCTTGTGGTTAACAGCTGCAAATCAAAACCACAGTGAGATACAACTCACCCCTACTAGGTGGCTATTATCAGAAAAATGGAAAATAACAAGTGTTTGTGAGGATGTGGTGAACCTGGAACCCTCGCCTGCTGTAGGTATGATTGTGAATTTGTGTGTCCTTGTACAAAACAGTTCAGTGGCTCCTCCAAAAGTTCAACTTAGAATGAACAGAGCAATTCCATTGCAGATAAATACCCAAGAGACTTGAAAGTAGGAACACAGACGTGTGTGTGGCTGTTCATTACAGGACTATTCACAATATCCCAAAGGTAGAGATGACCCAAATTTCCATT